CACCACCGTCCCCTCTTTCCCATCAGGCGCTGCAGCAGGGGCTTGACCCCAGGAGTTAGTCTTCGCTCAGAGCCCCCTAGCAAGGGTGGGGGGTGTGGGAGATGGGGCAGCGGCAAGGCAGGATGTGGGAGCCTTACCCTGGGCTTGACCAGCAGCGTCCCGGTGACCGTGAACATGCGCGAGAGACCGACAGGCGTGCACACTGCGGGGCCAACAGAGCAAAGGAGCAAGGTGAGAACAGGCAGCCCAGCCCCCTTCTGCCAGCAGGTGGCGCCGTGCCATCAGCAAAAGGGCCCACAGGGATCGGGCCCTTCTGCCTCCCAGCAGGACGGGTCCGAGCCTGGGGCTGGGACATAAGAGACTCTGCCCTGGACCTCCTCATGCAAGGGGGGGTGGCCCCCCTGGCAGCGCATCTCCAGAGAGGAGCTGGCAGGGCCAGGATCTAGCCGGTGTGGGCACACGGGAGGGACGGACAGGCACCCAGAACTGGAAAGACAGCCCTGGGCTAGGACAATAAGCCCCCACCCTAAAATCAAAAAGGGACGGGCAGGGAAAATCCACCCAGAGTTTCTCTAGGTCGGCAGGGTGGTGAGGCAGGAAGAGGAAATCCTGAATTCCAGCCTCCACCTTCACAGCAGGGCTAGTCTGGACCAGAGCCAGCTCAGAAGCTCCTGGAAAACATCCACCAACCGAGCCCATGCAGCCCCTCCCCGGGTTGGGCCAGAGCTAGAGGCTGCGTCTGGTCACAACAGCCTGCCCGGGCCTCTGTTCGGGTGAGGGGGCAGACAGCCCTGCCCCCAAAATCTCCCCATCTAACTGCGCAAGACAATTTCATAAAGAAGGCAGAGCAAGAGACACTCTCCTTAGGTCTGCCAGGCAGCTGTTGGAGATGGGAACAGAAGCCCAGCACCCCAACCCTATGGCCAGCCTGCCCCCCTGCGTTGGTTGGTAATTCAGCCTGGACCCCCTGGTCCAAAGAAATCAAACCTGTGACTCACCCAGCAGCAGCAGCACCCCAAACAGTGAGATGCAGGAGTAGAGGTAGGGGAGGTAGTATTCCCACAGGTCTGTGGAGAGGAGAGGGTTAATGTTACACCCACGATGGGGTTAGCCATGGGGCCTGAGAGAGCCCTGGTGCCTAGCCTGGATTCCCTGGGGCGCAGCGGGTGACATCCCCTGCCAGTGGAGCAGGGTGGGGGAGGACAGGGACTGGCAGTTCTGACAGGGTGTGTCATCTTTTGATCCCAGAGCATCACAGCAAGGGGATGGGTGGGAACCAAGCACCCCACTTTGCACACAGGGAAACTGAGGCACAGAGCAGCGCAGAGATGAAAATCCAACTCAGGAGTCTGAGCCCTAGCCCTCGGAACACACTCCCCTTTCCCAGAGCTGGGGAAAGAACCCAGGAGTCCAGACCCCTCTGTCTGAGAGCCTGCACCACCACGCCCCCCGCGAGGCCCCACAGAGCCGGCTCATGCTGCCCCAGGCACCCACCATACAGGGATTCCCGACTGGCCGTGTCGTTGTCCAAAATGGCCAATGCCACCCAGACCATCCCCAGCACCAGCAGCGTCAGCAGCCGCAGG